TACCTGCTCTATCCCATGTATAATCTTATAAACCTTGATCATGTCACCCCTCAGTCGTCGTTTCTCCAAGCTAAAGAGCCCGAAGTGCTTTAACCTTTCCTCATAGGGAAAGTGTTTCAACCCTTTTATCATTCGTTGCCCTTTTCTGCACTTTTTCCAAAGCTATAACATCCTTTTTAAGATGTGGTGACCAGAACTGCACACAGTATTCCAAATGAGGTCGCACCATTGATTTATGTAGGGGCATTATGATATTGGCTGACCTGTTTTCAATACCCTTCCTAATAATCCCCAGCATAGCATTGGCCTTTTTTATTGCAGTCACACACTGTCTCAACATTTTCAGTGAGTTATCTACTACAACTCCAAGATCTCTCTCTTGATCAGTCTCTGCCAGTTCAGACCCCATCAATGTGTATTTATATTTAGGATTTTTGGCTCCAATGTGCATCACCTTGCACTTGGCCACATTGAACCCCATCTGCCATGTTGATGCCCACTTGCCCATCCTTGACAGATCCCTTTGGAGTGCCTCACAATCCTCACTGGTTTTCACCACCCTGAACAACTTCATAACATCCGCAAATTTAGCCACTTCACTGCTTACTCCCAACTCCAAATCATTAATGAACAAGTTAAAAAGCAGTGGACCAAGTACTGATCCCTGCAGTACCCCACTGCTTACCACCCTCCACTGAGAAAATTGCCCGTTTATACTCACTGTGGCTGGGGGGGAACTACAGGATTAGGGCATAGACTTTCCACTCTGGGTGGGGCACTACTAGCACTGGCACAATCAGTCATGAGTTTGGGTGTGATCCCAGATGCTTCCTTAACTATGGAGGCCCAGGTCACAAATATTGCCAGACTTGTGTTTTTTCATCTACACCAAGCTCAGCAATTAGCTTCTTTCCTGTTCCTGTTTTTAGCCACCGCAATCCATGCAACGGTCAGCTCCTGGCTGGATTACTGTAACTGGCTGTATGCTGGCCTCTGCCCTTGAGACTGACCCGGAAGCTCCAGCTGGTCCAGAATGCAGTGGTGTGAGTCCTAACGGGAATGCCACAGATGTCACATATACAACCAGTACTGTGCCAGCTACACTGACTTCCAGTGGAATACTGAGTCAAGTTCAAGGTTTTGGTATTGACTTTCAAGGCTTTGAAAGTCTTTGTCTGTCACTTGCATATCTCCGGGACCGCCTCTTTTGGCATATCCCTCAGAGAGCGTTACACTCCACTGAGAACAATCCACTGGTGATCCCTGGCCCTAAAGGTATCCGGCTGTCCTTGATCAGAACCAGGGCTTTTTTGGCCCTGGCTCCAACCTGGTGGGACTCTGCCAAATACCGCCAGGGCCCTTTACAGGCCAAATCCCACAGGGCCTGTAAAGCAGAGATGTTTCTCCAGGCTTTCGGCTGAGGACAGCAATGGTTCCATCATGGCTGGCACCCTCTTCTTCTTTTTCCGTCTTTGCACTTCGGCCCCCTCCTCGCCCTGCCAACGAGACAGCAACGCACTCCGGGGTGGTACAAAGAAAATTATTGACATCCTCTGAGATTATGTAATTGACACAGATTGTATGAATTTTAACATTGTTGTAACTATTGTACATCACCCAGAGCCTTGTGTGTACAGGGACTGGGCGATTCACAAACCTAAAGTAATCAATCAATCAATCATGGGGAGGATGGGTTAATGAATGAAGTAGGTGATCAGCATCCTGACCTTTTAGAGATAATGCTGAGCAACCTGTGGCTTCACAAGGCATAGCCTGACACTTCAGTACCTATCTTTCCAGCCATAAGGGCTAGAAACTTGGTATTGTTAAAGGCTGTAACGATCAAGATGCTCAGTCATGCGAGTGTGACATTTTATTTGTGTGGATAAACAGAGTGGACATGTTTCAGACACTATTAAATTCAGTGATTTAAACAATACTTTGTATTCCGGAGGTCAGCTCTGTGTTGCTGGTGTGGTGTATCTGTATTCTGCTCGCTTTGACCAGACTGCACACAGATCACGCCAGAACGTTCCCAACTAACTCTAAGCCTACACAGGTTTTTCAGAGTGTACCATTTCCTCTGATTATCAGTGTGATCCTGGGTGCATTTACTTGAAAGAAAGATGTAATTTCAGCAACATTAGTGTGCATGGAATGCAGCCTTTATGGTTCTAGGCATTCAGCTTGGGGACTGCATAGATGGCATTCCTTGGAATCTATTATTATAAGGTAATTACAAGTTTTTAGGAAGTCGCTTCTGAAAGGTATTATTTGCTGTTTCCTGGTGATCCTAAATGACATTACAAGAGAACTTTGTATGGCAACTATAACTTCATCCAAATGGATTTATCAGAATTAGGAACCTCCATCTTCTTTTTCCAGGTCCAGTTCAGGAATCCAGCTTTGGAACAGAGATTTGGTGCAGTTTTCATGGAGACCCTGTACACAATCCATTCTCAAAGAAGCCTCATTTAAAGTTCTTTAAAGCATCATTCATCACTGCTTTGCTGAGCCACCGAATGCGCTGCCTGAGTAAATTTCTTCTCCCTATCACTTCTGTGCTGGATGTTATTCCCTTGCTGATGCTTCTCTTGACGCACTTCTTAATGCATTCTTTAATTGCCCTCTCTGATGTTGGGAATGGAAATGATTGCAGCTTGTCCTCTGAAATGTGGTACTTGTACTTGGCATGATGCTTTTTTCAGGCACTTGCTTGCATTATGTTGTTCTTGAATTGATCTCATCAAATGATGGAGCCAAACAGGTCTAGTCAGTGGTACTGTCAAGGCACTTAGCAAGAAAGACAAGTCTGAATTCTAACCACATCTTCAGAAGGAGGACAGTGTGTAATGGGAAATGTTCAGCACTGTTCTGCAGAGTTCTTACGAGATGCCAGGAGTCCATTTATGAATTACAAAATGGTATACAAAAAACTATACAAAGCTGGCTTTGCCAGTGGCCTGTAGAGTACTCATTTACATTTAAAAATACTGAGTTTTAAAATCAAGTTGCTGGGGGAGGCAGCTGGTCTGTCCTGTCTTGGGACCCAGTCCAGTGATATACATGGAAATGCTGTGCGTACAGTAGTTTTTACAAATACGACTTTGCTAAATATGATCTGCATGTTGCATACATGAACCTATGAATTAGGGTGGATGGTTTTTAAAAACTTCAGATTGAAAGAATACATTTTGGCATTTTTAAAAGAACATTTCTATGCTGCCTCTTCAGAGTCCTGCTTTTGAGGAAGCTCACAATTAAAAACCCACAATATTAAAACAGAAACCATTGGACATAAGCAACATAAAAACCTACCCATAAAACAAAAGCTGATAAGATAAAACCCTTGATTAGTAGCCTGGGTAAAGAGAGGTGGTTTAGCTTGGCACTTAAAAGGAAGTAAAGTGGCAACAGATGAGCCAGAGGGTGAGGTGAGGTGCCAGCATAGAAAATTTCCTGTCTCTCGTTGCCACCTGCCTCCCCTCTGATGGGCTGGGGGGTGGTTTACAGAGATTAAGACTTGAGAGGCAGGTCTTATTGGGCTGGATAGTATAGGAGGCGATGTTCCTTTGGGTATCCTGGCCACAATCTGTTTTTCTTTAAAGGTGTAAGAACCAGCACTTTGGATTATGCCTGGAAACAGATGAGTAACAAGTGCAGATCTTTCAGCACAGGATGATACAGTCCCTTTAAATAACACCTGACGGTAGCCTGGCTGGTGTGGCTGTTGGACTTTCTGAACCATTTTCAAAGGCACCCTGCATAGGGCGCATTACAGTAATCTATATGGTGTATGGGGAGCTGTTTTGGGAAGTAAGTGAAATTCTTTGATGATTGAGCTTGTACCAGACCTAGGCTAGCCTGATCTTATCAGAACTCAGAAGCTAGGCAGTGTTGACCCTGCCTAGTAGTTGGTTGGATGGGAGACCTCCAAGGAATGCCAGGGTTGCGATGCAGTCAATGGCAAACTACCTCTGAATGTCTCCTGTCTTGAAAACCCTCTGGGGTCACCATAGGTCAGCTGTGACTGGTCGGCAAAAACAACAGCAGAAGCAAAAACAGGCCTAGTGTCCATCTTCAGGACCGGTTCACGTGTTACAAAGCCCTGTGTTTGGACAGCACAAGGATTTTTGCATCAGGTATTTAGTGGGAGTTTGTGCCTCCTGATGTGCCCTTTTCTCCTCACGACTGTGGAGCACAAGCAGAAGGGGCTTCAGCCTCTCCTTTGTGCCGCTTTGACTTCCTCAAATGGCCCCGTGAAGCTGCTATTGGCTCCGTTATGAAATCTGAATGCAACCACTTAAGTAACAGCATTTTCACAATAGAGTCCAGAGCAACCCCATCGGACAGTTTAAGGAAGCAAAAAATGGCATGGGTTTCTGTGAGAAAACTACAGGTAGCTAACAAAAATGGGTAAAAGCAGCAAGACAGCAGCTTCTGCTTTCTCTTTCAGTCTGTGGTTATGGTTGAACACTGGTGTAGTAGTCCGATACAGCAGTGCCAGGTAACAGTTGGGCAAGACGATGAGAGCTGGTTTCTTTTGTGGGACATCCTGCAAATTCATCCTTTGGAATAGAAGAAGAGGAGATTTTGATTTATACCCTGCCCTTCACTACCTGAAGGAGTTTCAGAGCGGCTATCAATCTTCTTTCCTTTTCCCTCACAGACACCCTGAGAGGTAGGTGGGGCTGAGAGAGGTCTTTTGAGAACTGTTCTTGAGAGAACAGCTCTGAGAGAACTTGTGACTGACCCAAGGTCACACCAGCAGCTGCATGAGGAGGAGTGGTGAATCAAACCCGGTTCTCCCAGATTAGAGTCTGCGCTCCTAACCACTACACCAAACTGGATAGTATATTGGGATGCAGTACCTTGCTTCACATCTGGTCTCTGGTGATAGAGGTGCTAGTAAGAAGGACCTCTATCTTTCTCAAGGGCACTCATCTGCTTTTGGGCACACCAGCCCTAGGAGGATTCATGCAGATGTGTCTCACAGTGAAATCCTACTGTTGCAGCAATTTCTCTTTCACTGCAAGGAGGCAAAAACGTCTTTTGGCCTTTCGGGCTGGCTCTGAAAAGGATGAAAACCTTACTGTTCTTACTAGGGTACTGAGTACTGGCTTTTAGGAAAGGGGAGTGTGTTGCAGGATCCCTTTTCTGCATTAGGTATGCCTAATGATGTACACACATAGGAGAGGTCGCATTAGGCTGCCTGGCACCTTTATAGGGATGAGTTAAGAAGCTGGACTGCAGTGCCTTTTTTTTTGGTTATTGCAAGCGAAGAAGATGGGGACACAACCAGAATTTGTTGGCTCTGCCTACTATTGACTGCCCTGTTGTCTGCCATACCAGCTGTCACTGATACGGTAAAACCCATTGTATTCATAATGTGTGTTCTGCTGTTTAACGCTATGACTCAGAGATTAGTGTGACATAATCCAGCCACCTACCTGTCGTGTGTGCTCTGAGCTCATTCATTCATGCAGGGCAGGGTCTGTTTCAGATGAAGCGTGAGCTGAGGATTCTCCGTATGCCAAGTGGAACACAGGGCTCCCTAAAAATGGCAAGAGAAAGGAAAACTTTCGTAGTCACTTGTTTTTGCAATGCTGGTGGAAAGTGCCATCAAGCCACAGCCGACTTACGCTGACCCCCCATAGAGTTTTCAAGGCAAGAGATGAACAGAGGTGGTTTGACATTGCCTGTCTCTGTAGCAATCCTGAACTTCCTTGGTGGGTCTTCCATCCAAGTACTACCCCAGGTCAGCCCCTGCTTAGTGTCTAAGATCAGATAACATTGAGCTAGGCTGGACCTTCCAGGTCAGGGCAGTTTAATGACAGGGTGGTTTAGTGAGGTCACTGTAAGCCAAATTGTGGTAGTATTACCTAGTTGAAACTTGATTCGTATGGGTAGTAGCTGTGTTGGTCTGAAGCAGCAGAACAAAGTTTGAGTCCAGTGGCACTTTTAAGATCAACAAAGTTTTATTTTGGGTATACCCAGAAGCTTACACCCAGAAAAGCTTACACCTAGAAAAAAACTTTGTTGGTCTAAAAGGTGCCACTGGACTAAGACTTTGTTCTAGTTGAAATGTGCATATTCTTCTTGAACAAGGAATATACACATCCCATCTTGTGGCCGTTCGATATACAATGCGATATAAATATGTGATGATAGGCTTATAATCCAGATCTACACTCCTACATTACTGTAATGGCTTTATACAACCTACATCAGTATGTTGTAAGGTCTTCCCAGTTAGAAGGGATGTGCAGAGCCTGTTGAAACTAGATGAGAAGGTTCTTCTTCTCAGAGAGGTATTGCTATGTAAGTTTAACTATGATAATATCTTGGAGACAATAGCTCCGCTCTACATTCTTTTGCTTGATGGTTGGTAAATAGAAACTACGAAGAATAGGTAGAATTCCCAATGTTTGTCTTTGTTAGCAAATATGTACATTTCAGTAATTGGGGAAGCTGACAACGAGGTTCTGTTGGTCAACCATAGTGGAGCAATGCATGAATGGTCCCCCCCCCATAACTTCAGGATAATGGCTAAAGTGTATGTGGGGGTCAATGAGAAGAAGAAAAACTGTCTGAAGGGATAGTGCAAGCGTGTCTAAGCAGAAACTGATTTTTGAAAAGGCTTCTAAAGGCTGGGTGTTTCAGGGAGGATGCTTAAACTGCTTACCTAATGTTGGTACTATATAGATTACCACTGTGCTCCTCATATTGTATGTGTGCATGCACACAGATGTAGGAGATGTTTCTATGTAGCATGAATATTTTAGCTATGCTGATGAGGCTGATACGGTGGATTTTTGCAAACTATTTTCTAGGGATTGCATCTTTTTGAAGCAGAAGACTACTTGGTGATAGGAGAACATGTTCCTTACTTTTTCTCTCCATGCTATTTTCTTTCTGAAAATCTTCTCTAAAACTCCTTTCATACACACCATCCTGGGGAAAAGATGCAAGTACATATAACTTGGCCTCTGACTATAGTATCTCTCTTGGACAGGAAAGCAAAAAAACAACAACTCTTTGCTATATTCATGGTTGTAATCCAACACTGCAGTACGTACAAATTGAGCACTTAAGTTTGCCTCTTTAACTGCTTTTCAGAAAGGTTTACATGGGGGCGGGCTTTCTAAAATGATATTTCTGAGAAATACCAACATTTACAAGAAACACAGATTTCACCTGAATACAATTAATAACAATTAGGGATGGGCACGGAACAGGAAAATGCAATTCATTTTGTGGTTTGTGGTTGAACCATGAACTGGGAGAACATAAGAACATAAGAGAAGCCAATGTTGGATCGGGCCAATGGCCCATCCAGTCCAACACTCTGTCACACAGTGGCCAAAAATACCAGGTGCCATCAGGAGGTCCACTAGAAGCCCTCCCACTGTTGCCCCCCCAAGCATCACAAATACAGAGCATCACTTGGCCCAGACTGGGAGTTCCTATCTATACCTTGTGGCCACTGATGGACTTCTGCTCCATGAAACAAAGTGGTTTGTGCGGTTTGTGTC